GGGGGGCATGATGAGCAGTGATGCTCCCCCAGTGTCAGCTCGGGGCCTCACAGAGACTTGCCCTTAAAGCTTGACCCGTAATTGTAAAGACCCATCCCCCACTGTCTGTGTCTGGGTGGCCATAAGCAACATCTCTCGGGCTCAACACCCTCTCTGACCTGACCCCACTTACTCTGCCACAGACGCCTGTAAGCTGGGCCTCCCTGGTGGCCTGGGGACTAAGTCTCAGCACTATGAAACTACCCACAGCCACTGCAGCATGAATCTCATCCCCAGCCAAGAAGTGACCCGCAGGGCGCAGCAGACCCCTCCTGTCTCCCCGCTGAGCCCCTCAGCAGTGGATGTCAGTGGATCTGCCTGTTCTGCTCCCGCTCTGTCTCTGGGGAGCCCTCCCACCACCCCCCACCTCTTGCTTACACCCCCAGCTCTTGTATTCACAAATAAAAATAAACCTTTTTTTAAAATCCTGTATGCTAACTGCTTTTGAAGAAAGAACTGAATTTTTCAGGACTTAGGAAAGCCTTTCTGAGTATTTTCTCGATATCCTAGAACCAGGCTGATAGCTCCGGTTTCCTGCAGCTCAGCGCCACCTTCTCAGAGGTCTCTCTCAGGCCTGCACCAGGGCGGGAGGGGTCGGGGTCTACACTCTAGGGTAGTCCAATGTCACGCAGGGAGCATTTTGGAGGCCCGAGGCCTCAGCGCACCCGGCCTGGGCCTCCAGCCACGGGAGGAACCGCACGCCTGTGCACACCCCGCACATGGAACCGGCCCTTGGTGCAGAAGTAGCCAGAGGCCCCAGAGCCTCCCCGGAGGGTCAGGTCTGCCCGCGAAGACTCTTCTCTGGACACTCATCCTGGTTGCTGCTCTCACTTCACCAGGTTCCCACAGCTCACAAAACACACTTACACCCTTACTCAGGGCCCCCCCAGGAGGGGCACGGAGCACACAGACACATCCACGCAAGTGCCGGAAGAAAGCACCAGCGCGCTGCGTCTTGTAGAGATCAGAAAGAAACTCGCCTGTTACGACGCCGGTATGGACTGACGTCAGAGACGGTCCTGGCCCACGTGTCTGCCCGGGAGACGCGTTATCCTGAGCACAGGGCCGGCGAGGGGCCACTGAGGGGAAGCTTGGGGGGCTTCCGGCTCACGCAATCTACTTTGACTTCAACTCACCCCCCGAGCGGTTCCTGCCAAGAACCCCAATGACGGCAACGCTAGTAACAGCAGCTCGGAGAGCGGAGCAGACACGTGGCTCCCTGGAGCGCCGACCCTGCCACCTGCTCACGGCGGGTCACAGGGTCCAAGCAGTGATGCCCGTCCATCGCAAGAAGTTGGCCACAAGTGTTTCAAAGTAACAGGCCGGCTTGCACGTCACTGGCACCCACTGCCGTTGGTGCTGGGCCTCGGGAAGTGCACGCTGTCCCAGCTACAGACCCCTGGCACAGTCACGGCGGGCGCGCTCGTCGGCGCGTCCTCGCGGAGACCGTGCTCAGAAGGCCTGCGGCCGTCGCCAGTCTTCAGCCCGATCCCTCAGAAGCGCCCAGTGCGATGCCGCAGCCAAGGAAGTGACGCTCAGATACAGAGATGCCCAGAGACCAGGAGCGGCGGGATCCCGTGACGGCGGAAGATGGACCACTGATGGCACTGGAACCCCAGCAGATGAGTGAGCAATTTGGGGGGACACTGAAGGATGACGCTGGAACCCCAGATGAGTGAGCAATTTGGGGGAGAATGGAATGATGACACTGGAACCCCAAAAGATGAGTGAGAAATTCGGGGGGACATTGAAGGATGACGCTGGGACACTGATGACACTGGAACCCCAGCAGATGAGTGAGCAATTCGGGGGGACACTGAAGGATGATGCTGGAACCCCAGGTGAGTTAGCAATTCGGGGGGGCATGGAATGATAACACTGGAACCCCAAAAGATGAGTGAGCAATTCGGGGGGACATGGAATGATGACACTGGAACCCCAGATGAGTGAGCAATTCGGGGGAGACATGGAATGATAACACTGGAACCCCAGCAGATGAGTGAGCAAATTCGGGGGGACACTGATGACACTGGAACCCCAGCAGATGAGTGAGCAATTCGGGGGGACACTGATGACACTGGAACCCCAGATGGGTGAGCAATTTGGGAGGACGTGGAATGATGACACTGGAACCCCAAAAGATGAGTGAGCGATTTGGGGGGGACATTGAATGATGACACTGGAACCCCAGCAGATGAGTGAGCAATTTGGGGGGACATCTGGGGACACTGAATGAATACACTGGAGCCCCAACAGATGAGTGAGCAATTCGGGGGGAGCTAATCCCACCCCTTTAGCTAGCGAGCCCCGCTCTGCCCTGTGCCAGCCCGCGAGGCCTGCGTCCGCTGAGGCAGAGGCTGTCGCTGAGTCCCGGAAACCCACAGGAACATCACCCTCTATGTGAAAAGGAGAAAAACCCGCATTTCCCCAGGATGCTGCCTCTGTCCCATCAACAAAGACAAATGTCACCTTGGGCACAGGTCTGGCTCGGGAAGCGCGACACAACCCAGTTGATTGAACGTGACCCACGAGCGGTGTGGAGGTCGATGGTGGCAAAAGCCGTTTTCTCAAACCCGCCCCTTTGGGGTTGCTGCAACGGGTAAGTGGATTTCTCCCCACGGCTGAAGCCCCTGGCACACCGCCGAGGGAGAGCGGCCTGGCTCTGGCAGGGCTGCTCCGCGGGGTTGCTGCGCTCAGCATTTCTGGGCCGACAGCAGCCGCGGGGGAAGGCGGACGCCGCACGGCACTTGCCGGGCGCAGTCAGGCGGCTCCATCCACCGCTGGGCAGCAGAGGGACAGAGCCGCACGCACAGAGGGCGACGTGCTCTCCAGAAGCCGCCAGGACGGCAGAGGTGGTGAGTGAACCGGCTGCGGGCTGGGGCTCCAGTTTCTGTGCTGTGTGCAGCCTCTGGTCTCCCGCGCGTGTGTGGGAGGCTGACACACCTATGGGCAGTCACATTTTCGAGAGCTGCTGCTTGAAAAGCTGTGCGTGGAATAAACAAACAGGCATAGTCCTGCCGAGCGGGGGGTCAGAGAAGTCATGCTTTCTGAGCGCCGGGCTGCACACACAGGACCCCGAGGTGAGGCTGTCGGCCTGAGACAGCAGCGTGACGAGTCGCGGGTCTAGAACCCAAGCAGGAGCCCCGGGGACTGTGTCTGGGAAGGATGACAGTTTCTCTGCCAAGTGCCCGGAGTCCCTGCGAGGGAGACTGAACCCTCAGCCACAGCACGAATGTCGTGGAGACCCTTCGCGATGCTTCCAGCAAACGTGGGGAGCCATTTTAGACTAACTGCAAGCTGGGGTGCAGCAGCACCGTGGGCTCTAAGTGGCCCATTTCTAAGGGCGCCCCTCTCCCCCGGGGCCTGTGGGTCACCCTGCAAACGCTGAGAGCAGCGTCAGCCCTCCGCGCAGCGGGCCAAGCGGGCCCTGCCGGGGCTGGCGAGGATGTGCATTGTCAGCAGTAGCTCGTTTGCTTGGAACAGACATTTGCTGGGCGCCACCCACGTGCCAGCCCCCGCCCCACAGCCCTCTGGGGTAATTCTCAGCCCAGCTTCTGAGGTGGTATCATCACCCAAAGCTGAGATGCGCAGCTGAGCCTGGCTGAGGGTAAGGGGGGTGGGCTGGTTTGAGTCTTTTAGAAACTCCCCATTCTCCAAGAATCATGGTTCTGAAAAAGGGGCTCTCGTCTATGACCCTCCTTATCCGAACCCGCACTGCCCCTGACTCAGGGGCAGTCTCTCTCCTTCTCAGACACCGCCATCGCAACGTTCTAGAGCCAGTGTGCAGGCCGGAAAACGGCCTGGAGCGGCTGCGGGCGCTGCCGGAGTCAGGCATCGCGGGAGCCTGCTGTTCCCCTCCGGGCTCTGGGCTCCGGCCGGTCAGACGGCGCGGTCAGGGCCGGGCTGCCCACCCAGCTCTACGCCTCTGGTGCAGTCACGGACCGTCGCTCCGCTTTCTGAGGCTCAGGCTTCTCCTCCATACGCCACAGCCAAGCTGCCCACACCTCTCGAGCCTGGGGAGGTACTGGCCAGAGGCTCAGTTCCAGCGCGCCCCACCGAGGCGCTGGCCGCTGAGGCCAGCCTCTGCGCGGACTGGCCGGGGTCTCCTCCAGCCTGCACCACGTGCGTGTCCTCCCCGTGCTAAGCAGTTCTCAGCCTCGTGTCCTGGGATGCAGACAGTAACCCCATTCCGGAGGTGACAGGAGTCGCCCTGATTTATGGATGAAGAGCCAGGCAACCTGACCAAAAGTTCTGGGAGCGGGTAGTGGATGGGGTGGGGGTGCGGGGGGCGGCAGGCACAGCATTCAAATGCACTCACATCACCCACGTGAGCAACTTGAAGCGGCTACCATGGCACGTGTTATGGGATTCTGTTGGCTACCATCATTAATGGGACATTTAAGGCTGAGTAGCGCCCAACTCCATAACCTTCTACCCCGACCTCTCTCATCCGTGTCCATCACAGCCTGGACTCCAAAGAAATGCGCCCCCTCGCCAGCGGAGGGCTCAAGAATCTGTTGGTCGGTTCACTGGTTGGCATCATTCCTTGAGAAACACACCACCGTGCCCGGGCCTCTCTGTGTTGGAGGCGCCCGGCGGCCTCTTCTGGGCTGTGCTCAGGTTCCCGAGTCCCTGAGGGCCAGGAGTCACTCCACCTTCCCTCCCGTCCTCTCCCAGGCTGCCACCACAGCCGCCTCCCCACCCCATCCCAGCTCAGACGCACACACACACCCATCAGCTCCCGCAAGGCGAAAGGGCCGGGCGCTGCGGCGGGAACAGAGCCCGGGCGTTTCTGCCTCAGAAAGTGCAGTGCGGCCGGAGCGGTGAACACACAAACGCTCAGAAGAAAATCACTCGTAGAAGAGCTGAGCATCCATACCGGGGCTCAGGTCCGGCCAGCACCCACCGCGGCACGCGAGGGCTGGGCCGAGTCAGTGAGAGGCGGGTGGTCCTGCAGAGGACGGAGCCCGGGCGGCCAGAGGGACAGTGTCCGCAGGGACGGTGCGAGAGCCGCACGCCCCGTCCACGACTGTCCAAGACTCCCCCTTCCCTCACTTTCATTATTTCTTCCCTTGCCCTGTCCTTAAGCTTACTCTTACTTTTGCTGCTTCTCCCATGGGAGACTGAAGGCATGACCTTTGACCCTTTCTCTGTTCACGCAGCCCTGGAAGGCTACAAGCACTCGTGTAGGTATCACCGTGGCTCACGACACCAAGGGTGAATGTGTAGTATTTAATGAATGAACGAATAGTTTACAACATGACTTCTTAGAAGTCATTATTATAAACTAGGAATTCAGCAATGACTTACCCCAAAAAGATGGACTGGGAAGAAGCCAGTGGGTTTACTGATTCATTCTTTCATTCATTCATTCATTTTCGCTAACAATTTCTCACTAAGCGATGCTGCAGCTAGCTAGCCTGATCCGGGCGGCCTCGTCCCAGAGAGTTGGGGAGACGTCCTCTGTGGGCTAGCAGTGACCAAGTCACTGACACACCCTACGCATGCTCAAAAAGAACCTGATTTTCCTGACATTTGAGGTTTCCAGGCTTGACTCTTAGAGCAAAGTTGAATAATTTGTGTTCAAATTGTCTAAATCCTTTCCAACAATTTTTATCAATGACCCAGAGCTGTACATTAAAATCTCTTTATCTTTTCCAATTTGTCATTTCTCTCTACAATTACTTCATTTTTTGCTTTTATATTTTGAGCCTGTGTTTCTAGGCACGTACAAGTTTAGAACTGCTCTTCCCTTGACTGTTCCTTCTAAATTATTCTTTATGTGGGCATCATCTTCACCCCAGGCTTTGGTCTCCAAGTCTGTCTTCTCTGACCAGTTTTCTCTGGGTTAGTACTTTCCTGTAACGACCTTTCCCAACTTTTTCCTTTCAGCTTTTTGTCCCACATTTTTGACACACCTTTGATAAATAGCAGTCTTTATTTCTGCTCAGCTATGTTTATTCCCTTCGAGCTCTACTATGCAATTAAAAGAATAAGCATTTTAAGTATTGATTTCCAGGAGGTTCTCAGATTTCATATCACCAGAAACAAGAGGTCTAGGTCCCTGTTATTCAAGAAGACTTCGAAGGATGCTTTTTACGAGGTCTCCCTTAGGAGAATAAAAACCAGCCCTTCCTCTCGCTCCATCTGTGCTGTGTCATTGCATCAAATGAGTTCTAAATTTCATCTTGTCTTTCCCAGACATCCCCAAAGAACTTCCCATCCTAAAGTCTTAGGTGTCTCCCTTATGCCTGCTGACAGATTGTTCCAGAAGAGAAACAAAGTAGCTACTGCAGGTGTTGCCTCCTGGAAAAATAGACTAGGAGGTGAAGACTCCATCTCCAAAGAGCTGATGAGGCCCTTGGGTCAACTGGTCTCTTCTGCTAAGCCAGCCCATGATACTGGGCACTCCCCAGCCCATGACACTGCCCACCCCCCCAGCAGGAGGGGCACAGCCTGTCCCACTCACAGTCTTCCTTGGCTAAGGGCAACATGGTTGCCTTTGCCAGAGAGTTGGTATCTTTAGAGGCAAAAATGTCTTGCACTCGTGTTGCTGGTGTTTACCATGACAAAGCACGAATTGTTTCTGGGCCTCGTGCCAATTACCCTGACAGCCATGTAAGGTCAGTGTATTCACTATCCACTCCAAAAGGAGGCCCCAAGTTTTGGGGGTTCTGTCCAGGCTGTGCTCAGGCCCAGACACATGACAGTCACTACTGGCTCCCCAGCGGAACAGCGTACTCCTTCTCAGCTGGGGCCTCTTCCGGATCCCCTCTCGCTGCGTCCCTCCCACCTTGCACGTCCTGATGCCCGCAGCAGCAGGCAAGCAGCTCTGCCCCCGGGGGTCTCTCAAGTCTCCCCGTCCCTGACGCTCCCCTTACACTGGGGCCAAGACCTCGGGCTGCGGGGAGGCATGGCTCCCACCTGCTGGCGCGCCATGTCTGTGGGTGCCCTGGGCCCGTGGGAATCCGCAGCACCCCCAGCTGACAGCCACATTTCTCACTCTTAGGTGATCGGCAATGCCGATCCCCCCAGCTATGTCACCGGGCGGTCTGTACCCCAAGGCTCCTTAGGCCCAGGCCGTTCAGCCCTGACCTTCATTTGCTGGCTCTTGCTGGCTTCCCTGCCCACCTTTTTCCAAGGAGAGGGAGGGGAAGGCCGGAAGAGGGGGCATCCCTGGCTGTGCTCTGAGCAAGGGGGTGGGAAGGCAGCAGAAAGAGCTGCCCTGACTGTGTGTTCTTGCAGCAAACAGTAGCTGTGAGGTAGCGAGATCACCGCTCCCGTCTCCTGTGGAAGCCCCCCGGGGGCAGGGGGGCGTGGGGTGGCGAGCCTGATGCCAGCTATTGCTCCAAGCCACACCTGTCCTCCTGTGCGGCCCATCCTCCACCCCAAAGGGGACGCAGCCAGGCCAGCAAAACCTCAGCAGAGCCAGGACTCTCCTCATTCTCCCCACACCACCAGCCTGCCGAGGGGCTCCCAAAATGCTGCTCATGGGCCCTGGGTCCTTTCTCTGTCCCCTAGCAGGAACAAACAGGAGCTTGCCCTGCCCACACCAGGCGGGAGGCCTCCATGGCGTAGCAGGGACAGAGCAGAGACAGCCCCAGGTTGCAGGGACCCCCCACTTCCCAGTAAGACGGGGACCAGGCTCCAGGGAGCAGAGCACGAGCCGGGGTCACTGTTCATAGCAAACCAGAACCCGGGCCCAGCGCCCGGCCCCACCCCAGGCCAGGCAGCATCTTGCCCGCCCTGCTGGTTCCTTTACCAGACAAGGAGGGAACTCACCGGAATAGCTTAGACGCTCACTCGGACTAGAAGGAATAAAACGCCTCCTTTTCCAGTCCGAGGGCAGCTCAACCGTTTCAAAATATGTTCTAAGCACAGAAACAGAAACAAGCCTCATCATCCCGTGGCCTCCCCCTCCTGTCGCCTCCCCCTCCTATGAACTGCTTCAACCCAATTTTCTTTTTGTTGCTGTTCAGCTGGAGGTAGCTGATCAGGTTCCAAAACAGGCACACCCCACCCAGCAGGTGGTCCCGCTGCCAGCGAAGGCCCCCAGCCCCCACCCCCCCCACCTTGGGGGAGCCTGGAAGCAGAAGATGGCCCAGAACAAAATGGAAATGTGTTCACCTTGATTTACGGCCTCCACGCCGAGAGTCCCTGGGCACCCGCCTCCTGGGCCGAGTCCCTCTCCAGTCCACGCCTGCCCCCCAGCCCACCCCAGGTGACGAAGTGCTGTGACTGGCAAGACGCTGTTTAAATGCGGAATGTTATTATCACTATAGATCATCCTATCGGCTTTCTGGGTCGTGCGGATGTCAGAATGATGCAAGGCAACACTTTTATTATTTAGGCTACAGTAGACTAAGTTTATGTTGATTACTCTAAGCATCGTCTGTGAAAGACAACTAGCACGGAACTGGGGATAATGCCCCCCTCGCAATCATATTTGCATAGTGTACAGCAGAGTTTAGCAGGAAGAATTATCCTAAGTGGTGTTTCTCATCCGCCCTGTCAGTCTCACGTCGGGCCTCCCCGCCCCAACGGGAGGCAGGACAAGCCCAGGTCTGCTCTTCGTCAGTATCAGCTTTAGGGATACACCTTTAGCATGGCGCCTTCGAAAAGCCTGCAGCGGGAACTCTCAGGCGGGAGAACAGCGCCTTTGGGCCCAGCAGGAAGCGGATTCCGACTGGGCTTCTGCGCCCTAGCTCATCTGTCTGTTCTGAGGAATGGAGCCGGCTCGGCCTGGAGGGTGCACAGGCCTCGCCAAGCCGCTGCGGCCCCCGGGCCTGGTCCGTGTCGCCTGGCTCACAGGCCCTTGCTTTGCAAGCAGATTCTGGAAGCCTGTTTACCGCGTCTGGAAATGAAAGCCATTTCCTCCACTGTCCTTGGGGCTGCCAGGCCTGGGCTCCCAGCAGAGTTATACATGCAGATGATCTGTTTGATGCTTTCAGCGCTGAAGGGACACTGATTTTATTTTACGAACAATAGTTGGATGTCCCCTGAGTGTGGGCTACTGGGAAATAAATATTCTAGATTCATCTATTCATTCGCTCATTGCAAACAAGTCTCCTCCAAACGAGCCCTCCATTTTCCTTTCCTCTCACTTGGTTTCGTTTTCTTTTGTTTTCCATCCTCCAGGCCCAGGACTGTCGCTTTGCCCAACTGGATGCTATTTTTCATTTCCATCTTGTCAACACCTAATGTCCAAATTTATTTAAATCCTCCTCAGACACAGTCCTACAAGATATGAATCACATTGGGGGTTTTTTTCCTCTGAATTGTCAGCTGTCTCATTTATGATTGACAACATTTCCATTTCAGTCATTTTGACTAATTCTGCTGCAAATCTGTGTATTTAACGAACACACCAATCGGCACCTCATTATTAGCAGGCCATTTTTTCCCAGTGTAAGGTGCTGATTTCATCATTGATAATGCACGGTAGCTGCCTCTAAAGGAAACTCGCAGCAAGCCTCGTCCAGTTTACAATAGAACAGTATCTTGCAAACAACAGTGAGCTGGGTCTTCTCTCCGCCTGGGCCACCCTCCTCACGTGTGAATGCTGCATGCTCCTGCCAGGCTCTTAACACAAACAAGGCTTTCTCTTTGTACAGGTATGCTGGGCTGCATAAAGCTGAAAAGAAAACCAAGTTTGACTCTACCCCAAACACCCAGTTCTGCAATGCAAATACAGTGTCACCGGTGTTCAAAATTGCCTGCAGCTCTGGCAGGTTACAGATCTTCTCCCTGGGCAGATAATTCATTAGGATACATCTCTAGCCTAGGTAGCAACTGGACAAAAATGTTCACTTGTATACTACCCGATGATGCGGGTAGCAGGGTTTCTTTCTGAACGAGGAGGCCAGGCCGTTGATGCCACCCATCATAAGCATTGCAAATGAACGATTAGTCTTCATCCCGGATCTAGGTCAGGATGGAGCTGGAGGGGAGGGCTGTAAGGCTGAGACCGGGCTGTCAGAGCCGCTTAGCAGAAGGCAGACATTGTGCTGAGGCTGCCGAGGGGGCCCGAGAAATGCTTTTACCTGAGAGGGGCCATTTCCCTACCCAGAGGGTAATCAAGAAAAAACGCTGGGCTTTCAGATGACAGCCCTTCACACAACACACAACACACACACTCTACTTTTCCCTAAGCTTTCTGCGTTCAACTTCAGGCCCTGAATAGTGTCAGCCAGATAGACAGATTTTAAAGAGACAGCTCTTCCTGACTCAGGAACATGTGGAATTTTGGAAACAATAAAGCCATACAGGATTTGTGTGGAAAGAGACGTGAAATCAGCCCCAGCACCTCCTGCTAAACAAAGAAGCTCCTGACCGAGGAGATGCACTTTCTTGCCCTCTAAGGAGATGCACTTTCTTGCCCTCTAAGGAGATGCACTTTCTTGCCCTCTAAGCCGCCTCCTCGGGCAGCCTCTCGCAGGCCATAGTCACAGCTCACTTTGCTGTGGCCCTCCAGGCCTGCAGCGTGGACATCACCAGCACTGTGGAGCCACTCCGGGGTGCCGGAGCTCTGGCGAGGGTCTTGGCCTGTTCCCCTGACCTGTTTCCCTGCATACACTCTGAAGTGTGGCTCTGAAATAGAAAGCCTGAATTTCAAAATTCAACCCAAACTCTAAAAAAATTGTTCACGAGCGTCAGCTACTTCCTTTATTGCCCAAAATCCTATGAAAACTTCAAGTTACTACAGAGTCTCAGAAAACCTGGCTCTTGACTTTGCCCGGAATTTGTCAGTCCCCTCAGCTCGGGCGGTCATTTCTCCCTCTCTGGGCCTGGCCTTCCTCTTCTAGCCAAATCATCTGCGTGCGGGCATCAGCGATGCCATCCAGCCCGACTTCCAGAACGGTTTTGTTTATTTTAAGTCCCAGTTACTGCAGCGCTATCTCAGCTGCTCCAAAATGTGCGCTCGCAGTGGAAGTTCACAGGGTAAACGCCAGTCTGTGGGAAGCTCTGAGGTCGTTCCCCAGCGAGTGATTCAAAGAGCGTTGACTGATGGGCTGAGATGACGAATGTAACCCTGTAACCAGTATTTTCCCCCACATCACTCTCCAGATTGATTTGCGAAGGCGGTGCTGTTTTTTTCTCTCCCTTTTTTAAAAATACCTTGTTTAGAAGGCCCGGAGGTGGAGAGGCAGCTTGTCCCATCAGGTACGTGAGGAACAAGTCTGGTTCTCACCGAGCCTCAGCACCGGCTTGGGGCCAGAGTCGGCCGTCAGTTTCCGCAGCCAACCTCAGCGGAAGGTTATAGAATATTCTATTTCGGGACACCTTTAAAAACAAGGAGCCCGTGTTGAAGCACTGCAGTGTTGTTTTGATTTCTGCCACAGAGTGAGTCACGCCTGCTGCACGCGTTTGAACACTAGCAGAGAATGCAACGCGTTAGCGGCTCCGCCATCATATTAAACATTCAGTCCGGCTGTGTTGCTAACGGGCTTTCCTTTCTCAGGCACACTTCAGCTCCCCAGCATGGAAACTGCGCACTGATGGCTGCTCTTTAGAGTTACCGCGGAGGCATCGCGAGGTGGGAGCCCTGCGAGGGGCAGGCAGGCACCAGAGTCCGAAACATGGTATGTTTGGCAAATGACCCATTTGCCTCCGACCTCTGTGTGCTCAGCTCGCCTGACGTCACGCTCAGGCGAAGCCGGCAGAGTTCATTTCTTGGGTCAGGGGTCTCCTTGCCTGCCTCCGTGGGGCCAGCGGGAGGCTCCCGGTTACAAGGAATTCGAAAGCGCACGGCTTTTGATTTGCGTTGCTGGCTTCGTTTTAACCTCCAGGACGAGGAGATTTAACTCAGTCCTCACCCCAGGCGAAGCTGGTGCTTAGGTCATGTCTGAGCTCTCTGGGGAACCCCGCGTTGTGCCCTCGGAGACGCAATGGTGTCTTTTCACGGGGAGCAGCACAGCTGTGCGGCCATATGGGCCCCAAACAGCCCGGTCAATCGGATTTGGGAGGTTTTACGGTGTAATTTCCTAACGTGTTAGTATTTGGGGTGAGTTTGATCGTGAGTGTAGACAGTACTTAACCCCAAGGGCTTCGGGTTTTAAGAAGCCCTCACAAATGCCCCGGCCTCCACTCAGCTGGTTAAAAGCAGATAGGAAATCTGTGCGTGGGGGAGGGAAGGACTCCTGACCCCCTCTTCGGAGAAAGCCCCAGGGGTCTGCTCTAACTATTAATTCGGCATCAGCTGCTTCTCTCTCTCCCTCTCTCTTTTCTTTCTCAACCCCGGCTCATCATTTAAGGCGTTCCCACTCCGGCCTGCCGAGCGGGTTACAAAACCAGCGCTCTGCTCCCCTCCCCCTTGCCGCAAGATGAGAGAGCAAATTCCCTGCACTGCAGCAGCGCCGAGCTGGACGCACCGAGCCGTCCTCGGGCTGAACAAAACCCGGCCTGAGAAACCCAGGGCAGGGCAGGCCAGGGCAGCGGCGGAGTGTCCCTGGCCTCGGGTCACGGCGACCCGGCCCTCGGCGGGGGGGACCCTGCCCTCCACGGAGCAGGGGCTCGCGAGCTAGCTGCTCTCAGCGAGTGGAAAACAAACAGCCAAAGCCCTATCCAAAAGGTGCGGGTCGCGGGCAAGCCACCGGCCACTGTTTTTCCACCGGAAAAGTATTTTAATTTGCGGGGGATGAGACCAGAATAGGGCGTTTCCCCCCAATGGCACCCCAGATGCCCGATGCTCTTTGCAACGCGTCTCCAGAAATTAAGTCTGTTGCAGGGATGTTTTACATTCCTTCCCGTCCTTTCCCAGTCTCTGTCGGTCTGTCTGTCTCTCAGTTTACACCAAAACTTTCCTCTCCTTGGAATTCACCCGCACTGCTTCTTTTTAAGCTTCTCGGGGTGCATTGCTGGGGGTGACAATGCCAGTGCTGAAAGGCTGAGTTGCTGCCCTTCATGGGGGTGGGGGGCGGGCGGCAACGCGCAGTCACCGACAGGCCGGCAATGGCCGCGACCGAGCGGGCACTCGGGGTCACCGTCCCTCCGACCTCTCCGCTCGCGAGCGCGCTTCTGGCCGCCCGACGCGACTTGCGGAGCTGTCCAGGCCGGCGCTTCCTGCCCCTCTCTCGTGGCCCCGAACCCAGCGCTGCCCAGGAACATTTAATTTGGTGTTTGAGTCATCGCAGGACAAACGCCGGCGGAAGGGCAGCAGATGGGCCCTGCGCGCCGGCCGCCGCGGCTGGGGCTACTCCCGGCTGCTGAAGCCGCTCTTCAGAGCGGCCCGAGACGTGTGGTTGCGGGCGCTGGGTTTTGTTGGGGGTGGGCAGACGCGGTGTGGCAGGGTTTTGTCCTCGTGGGCAGACTCCTTCCATCCTAAAGGCCAGGCTGACCCCCTGCGCCCGGAAAAACACCCAACATGCTCGCAAACACACAACAAAGGCGCCTCCCCGAAGTGAGTGTGAATGGCCGCGGGACGGGTGGCGACCGGCCGTGCAGACGCGCTCTCGAGCCTCCCTAATCTCGGTCCATCTGGCCCCGGCGGGCGCGCGAGGGCTGGAGGGCGCCCGGCCGGGGGAGGGGTGCGGGGCCGCGGGCCGCGCGCACGTACCAGAGGCGCGGGCACGCGCGCCGCTCTCCTTCACGTTCACCTTGACTGCAGGGGGGCGGGGAACGGGACTACCTTCTCCCCCTTCCGCAACTCTTCTCCGCACCCCCCACGCGGCTTGGCCGGAGAGGGGGAGGGGAACGCCGCAGCGGCGCTCGGCTCCCGACGCCGCGCGCCCTGCAGTGTGTTAACCGCAGCGGCCGCTGCACCCCCAACCCCCACCTGGCCTGGCCGGCGTCGCGGCCCCCGAAAGCCCCTACCCGGTGTCTCGGCCTGGGCACCACGAGGAGAGGGCACGCCGTGCCCTGAGCCCCTCCCCCCCACTCCGTTTGCAAAGCGGGCGAGCCCGGGAGCGGACGCGCGGGCCGCGACCACCCCGACGGCGGGGGCGAGGGGCCCAGGTGGAGGTTTGACGCCCCGGGCCGCTGGGCCAGGGCTGCCGGGCGCCGGGGCAGCCGGGCTGGCGCTGAAGGGGGCGGAGGACACGGCCCCGGGCAGGTGCCGGCGTGTGGGCACGCACCCTTCTCCCAGGATAGAAACGGATAAACGGAAGCGCGTGTGAGTGTGGGGGTGCGAATCGCCACCTCCGGCCTTGGCTTTCCCGCTCTTCCGAACGCTCCCCCTTCTCACTTTCCCCAAATCCGCATTTTCCTTGGCACGGCTCTCCCCGAGCTCGAAGGAGAGGGAGGTACCCGGGGGCAGTGAGAATGACGTGTGCTGGTGCAGAGAGGGGTGGGGGCTGCGGGCCGGCTCCGCGGACCGGCTCCTAATCCTCTTGTTTTCGGTGCAGTCAGCAGATGTGGCTTCTTTTAGCTGAATAATCCGTTAAAGGAATAATAATTTTTAAAAAGGAGTTCGGCCTCGCCCAAAGAGGACGGCGGACGAGACCGGGGCTCGGTAAGGCTAAATTAAAAGGCTCCAAATTCCCTCTGCCGCGCTCCCCCCTCCCCTCCC